AGGTGGCACCCTCTCTTTGGACCTTACTATCCTTATCTGTCAAGTGAATGGTTTTGATTTCACTGGTTTTCATGCCTAGCTGCACATTAGACTCACCTGGGGAACTTTGAAACCCAATGCCAGGGCTGCACACCCAGGTATTCTGATTTAATTGGTCCAGGGTGGGGCCAGTCACTGATTTTTTTTTTTTTTTTTTTTTGGAGACGGAGTCTTGCTCTGTCATCCAGGCTGGAGTGCAGTGGCATGATCTCTGCTCACTACAACCTCCGCCTCCCAGGTTCAAGCGATTTTCCTGCCTCAGCCTCCCAAGAAGCTGGGGTTACAGGCACTCACCACAATGCCCAGGCTAATTTTTGTGTTTTAGTAAAGATGGGGTTTTACCATGTTGGTCAAGCTGGTCTCGAACTCCTGACCTCAGGTGATCCACCCGCCTCAGCCTCCCAAAGTGCTGGGGTTACAGGCATGAGCCACTGTGCCCTGCCCCAGTGACTGATTTTTTTTTGTTTTTAAGTTCTCCATGCCCCACAACCACTAGGTTAAATTATCTCCAGGGACCCTCCCAGTTCTAATAAAGTCTATGATCCTTACTCTCTGGTCTCTGTGCTTTATTGAATTTATCTTTTCTCCATAAATACTCATCTTTTATGTTCAGCATGTTACATAGGCTGATTTTTAGAAATGCTTTTATTCATTTAAAAATCATATCGTTGGTTAGGCACAGTGGCTCACACCTGTAATCCCAGCACTTTGGGAGGCCGAGACAGGCAGATTGCTTGAGCTCAGGAGTTTGGGACCAGCCTGGGCAACATGGCGAAACCCCATCTCTACAGCGGGGCATGGTGGCACAAGTCTGTGGTCCCAGCTACTCAAGAGGCTGAGGTGGGAGGATTGCTTGAGCCTGGGAGGCAGAGGCTGCAGTGAGCCGAGACTGTGTTATGTTACTGCACTCCAGTCTGGGTGACAGAGTGAGATCCTATCACAAAAAAATAAAAATAATGTTGTTAAAGTATTGTTTGTTGGGGGTAATCAGCTATAATACTGAATGTTTAAAGTATACAATTTGATAAATCTTCCCATATAAGAAATGGTCACAGTCATAATAATGAACATATCCATCACCCTCAAAAGTTTCCTGTCTCCCTTGGGAATCCCCCCAAACATTTTTTCTCCTGCCCCTACCTTCCCAAGTAACCATGGATCTTTCTTCCTTCTTTCCTTCCTTCCTTCCTTCCTTCCTTCCTTCCTTCCTTCCTTCCTTCCTTCCTTCCTTCCTTTTTTTCCTTTCTTTCTTTTTTGACAGAGTCTTGCTCTGTCACCCAGGCTGGAGTGCAGTGGTGCAATCTCAGCTCACTGCAACCTCTGCCTCCCGGGTTCAAGCAATTGTCCTGTCTCAGCCTCCCGAGTAGCTGAGATTACGGGTGCCCATCACCACACCCGGCTAATTATTGTATTTTGTATTTTTAGTAGAGATGGGGTTTCACCATGTTGGCCAGGCTGGTCTCAAACTCCTGACCTCAAGTGATCCGCTTGCTCGGCCTCCCAAAGTGCTGGGGTTACAGGCATGGGCCACCACGCCCAGCCACTTTCTTTTGCTGTAGATTAGTTTGCATTTTCTATCATTTTATACAAATGTAATCACTCAACACATCCTATTTTGTGCCTGGACATAACTTCTAATTATCTCCCTGGACTTTAGATTTCAAGCTCTTTGAAAACAAGATCACTTTTTCTTTTCTCTTCCTCTTGGCCCTCAACTTATCTTTGCTAAGATATAGCCCTTAATTATTATTTGCTTGATTGACATAAGACCTCCATGAACTTAAAACCAAGTTTCAGTTTGGTGGCCAAGAAGTGCCTGCCACGTTGAAGGTTTTTAATTCACCACCACTTCTGGAGAGGTTCCTCAGTTGGCAGCTTCAGCCCAGTAAATAAATAAATAAATAAATAAATAAGCACATGAGCTTAATTTAGGGTCCGTGGACTTGCAGGAGTTCAGAAAGTGAGAGTCAAGGTGTGGGTTGGGGAGTGGGGTGGAGGAGCAGGCTCAGGATGCGGGGAATGAATACCTGAGAAAGGTCCTTGGCTTTCACCAGATTCTTGACACAAAGGGATAGACTATGGAATTAATGCCCTGCTCTATTCCTTATAATTTCCTATCTGCTTTTTATGAATCTGATGTCTAATTATAAATCCTTTACTATCTGCTCCTCCCTTCTCCCTTCCCACCTCCCCAGCACCTTTGTTTTGTTCTCTGCCTGCCCTGGTTATACTTAACCCTACTTAAGTAAACACACTACAGGGCCCTGTCCAGTGGCAGTGCCACTTCATGGGAACTGTTTGCATTCCTCTTCTCTTTAAGAGCTTCTCATCTGAACTATGTGACAGATTGTACCTTTTTATTCAATGATTCTTATTCCACTTTACTTAACAGTTTACCCTGAATACTTGGATGCCACTCACATATCACAAATCTATATTTTCTCTAGACCCCAGAGCCTGGGCTTCCTTTTCATCTCACAAAAAAAATAAAAATAAAAAATAAAAAAAAATCAATGCTTTTGTTGTTATAAATAAGTATTATGAGAACCAGAAGTAACAATAAACTGAAAATTCAAAATCAAGCCACTTCTCCATCCAGAGACACCTCCCTCACTTCCCCTTGTCAAACAGAAAACATATTTTAAAATGATACTATGTCTGATTTTTGATAAAAGTCTGGGATGTAGAATAACAATAATCTGCTCCTAAATGAGAAAATCATAGGCATCTGACAAGTGCTGGTTTCAAAGTTATCTTTCCAAAATAGAAGCGAGCAAGAAAAACATCTCACCTGCTGGCCAAAAGACCAACACCAACTCCCCTTCCTCCAAATTCCCCTTGACCCCGTGCAGTTTTGTTTGTAAGGGACTGATGTCTTACACTCAGCAGCATTTCTGGCTTCTGCTCGGGGGTAAGTTTTTCATTCCTATTCTCCCTTTCACCTCTACCGTTTTCCAACAGAAGAGCAAATACGGTAACGATAGCATTTTGGTCTAGTTCCTACACAAACTCATTCCTCTGCATAAAAGGCAGACCTTTGAAAGGTACTTACGTGGAAGAGGCAAAGGCAAGCCCTGGGTTTGGAAGCAGTGTTTGCTGATGCCAGCCTGCTTAAATAGCTGGGCTGGCTGACGCAGGCTGCTGATAGCACGTTTATTTATGCCTGTGAGCGCACACTCCAGCAAGGACCTGAAAAACCTGCAGCGTGGGCAGGAGGAAAACCACTGAAAGTATGCTGAAGTTACGTCTCTCCTGGTTATTCAGGTTTGATGTTCAGGCTGGGACTTCTGAGAGTTTCATGGAACTTTCTCATCACTATCTTCTCGTCCCTGACCTTTCTCCTAGCCAAGCAAGCTTCTTCACCAAGATCGGACAAGAGAGATGTGGCTGAGAGAAGACTGGGAAGAGAAAAGAGACCCTGAGTCTTTTCACCCACTTCCTTACTTTGAGCGGGTTTCCAGTTGGATGTTGCCTCATTTCAAAGCGTAGATCTGGTGCGGTTGATTTCACAGCTCTGTGGGCTGGATGCCAGGCTAAGAGCCTGGACAATTGCCCAATTAATGAAAGGTTGTTTTCTTTTGGGCACAGAATGTACAAATAAACAACAGTTAAAAGGGAGAGATTCGGGACTAGGATGATACAATTTTAGGTCTCCCTCAAAAACTATTCTCATTTATTTCCCCTGCATCTGTACTTTCCTCTTACCATCCCCTCCCCTTCGTTAATGAAATTCCTGTCTAAGAGGTGAAAGATTCCCCATGGGCTTGCAAATAAAAAGCCAGTGTGTGAGCAGTCTGTGGGAAGATGCATGCAGAGTGTGATGGAGAGTTCAGGGGCTCGTGTGACAATCCGTGCAAATGTTTCTAAAGGCGAGGGTATGTGTGTGGGTATGAGGACCCGGCCGTTGGATGTTTATGTATTTTATTAGCTAGATACGGGAGCTAATACTCAATTGCAGTGCACTAAACACATTATTAGGTGGGTATGGTTTTGAGGGAATGAGGGAAGGGAGACAAGGTCTGGTGAGATCATCTGTGGGTGTATCTGTGTGTATTTGCTGGTTCATAGCACAAACCAGTAAGTGCCATCCGGAGAGCCACACCCTGTATTTTTCACTTCACGGGAGAAAGAGAAAGCCCACTGGAGTCTCTTGGGAACAGTAGCCATAAGTGAAAGAAGAGCAGCGCTCATTCAGAATCTCTCTCTCTCTCGGAAAAGCGGGTGACGGGAAACATGTGTGGGAAAGAGTAGAGACAGGGGGTCCAGGTTAACCCAACCTTGGTTACCAGAGGAATTCTTTTGTCTCCTGCCTAATTCATTGCCTAAATTCTGACCTTTCTGTGGCCAAATCTGGATTCTTGCTGCCACAATTTTTTGAATGGGCAGGGTCTATGTCTTGTTTATCATTTGATATCCACAGCATTATTATTGTTATTATTATTGTTGTTGTTGTTGTTGCACAAATTATTATTATGACAGCACAAATTATGATGATGATGACAATGGTCATGATCCATAATCTAGTAAGACTGATTGTGTGTCAGGCTCCATGTAAGGCACTATACAGAGAGTTTGTTTGCTTATTTAATGTGTAATCCTCACAACAACCCTATGAGGTTTTTTTTGTTTTTTGTTTTTCACCCAGGCTGGAGTGCAGTGACACGGTCTTGACTCACTGCAGCCTTGACCTCCCGGACTGAGGTGATTCTCCCACCTCAGCCTCCCGAGTAGCTGGGACCACAGGCACACACCACCACACGTGGCTAATTTTTTGTATTTTTTGTAAAGATAGTGTTACCCCATATTGCCCAGGCTGGTCTCAAACTCCTGGGCTCAAGAGATCCTCCTGCCTCAGCCTCCCAAAGTGCTGGGATTACAGCCTTGAGCCACCACGCCTGGCTGAGTTAGTTTTTTATTATCGTTATTTTACAGATGAGGAAACAGATAGTCAGAAAAACTAAATAACTTTCCCAAGGTCACAGTGAACGGTGGAGGTGGAATTTGAATCCAGTTCTATCTGATTCCAAAGTCAGGGTTTCACTCAGGACTGGCTTGAACCAATACTTAGAAAGTTGCCTAAGAGTGTTTTCACCTATCTTTAATTGTGTTTTTGTTTATCATCTGTCTTCCAGAATGTGATTTCCATGACAACAATGACCTTTCTGCATTGTCTATTCCTGTGATCCAGCACAGTGCCTGGCTCTTGGTAGGTGCTCAATAAATATGTGCCATTTGTTCAGTTTCTAAATTCCTGTGGAGGCAGTACAGCCCAACAGATAGAGGTCCTGGCATCAACAGAGTCTCATCCTGGTTCAGATGAGACATTTCTTTTTCTCTTGCATAATGTGTCAGCTTCAAGCTATTTCTCTTTATCCAGTGTATCATGGAGATTAAACCAAAAGTGGTTGAAACCATGAAGCAGTTTTTACATCACTTAACTCTGCAGGTGTATGGTTCCAGTTGTTTGGGGGTGCAGTGATGAAACCAAGACCTCTAGCTTTTTCTGTCTTTCATTTTGTAGCTCTCAGTGTGACAGCGTTGTCTCTCCTCAGGGTGGTAAGATGGCTGCTTACCATGGTGGTAAGTAGCTCCTTTCATCATATCTTTAAACAAAATATCCAAAGATGGGTAAAAAGTGGCCCAGGATTTCTTTCTCCTAAGTGTCTTTCTTCGTTAGAGAGGAAAATACTTTCAGAAGTCACTAGGAGTCTTTCACTTATGTCTCCTTGCTGAGCACTGGGTTATGTTAGCCAACACATTGGCTAAATCCATCATGTGCAAAGAGGAAAGGGATCAGGCTGATCATGGCTCCTCTCTTGGGCCTAAGGGAAGAATCCACCTTCTCTAGACAAATTGCTCTGATAATCTGAACAAAATGAAGATTCATTTATTAGTGAAGAAGCAGAAAAGTGCTACCCACAGTTTTGCCAATCTAAGAGATCCTTTAAAATACAATAACCTGAACTGCTTTCATGCTTGGGCACCAGTCCAGCCATGGCAATTGGGTTTTACTATATCAGTTCTCTCTTTCTATGCTTTTTTTTTTTTTTTTCTTCCCCAGTGAGATAAGGTTGCTTTGGCTCTAGGTAAAATTATGAGTATTTCAACAGCCTGCAAATAAGGGAGGTAGCTGGCCACTAATTTTTTTCCTGCAGGTTTAGATCCTAGGTCTTTATATCACCACTGATTTCCAGGGACTAAGACACAATCTGTCAGCCTCTTGTCTTCTCCTGTGCCAGATGGGATTGGATGATGCTGTTGATTTCTTAGAGAAGTTGGGTCCAATACCACAACTAATTATAAAAACATGACTCATTTTCCTGCTCCTCCTGTTGTCTATTATATTTCAGTGGAATTCCAGAATCCCACATGTTTGCCTCTGCCTCTGCCTGAGAGCTCCAGCTACTGCCTGGGTTATGTAAACTAAAGACATATGGCTGAGATGGTAATTCTCACATAGTTCTTTTTCTCCTGGTGAGTAACAAACTTCAAATTACCACCCACAGTAAGTGTTATTTTTCTTCTATTTGCTGTTCTAAACCTTTTCCTTGCCACAGGTTTTGGGAACTCTTTTCTTCATTGTCTCAAAGCAAGAGAATTAGGAGGAAGAATGGGGTCATGAGATGTTCCTTCACAAGACAGGAACAATGCCTGGGGGAGGAAAGTGGCTCAGTAAGTGTTTACTGTGACTGGACAAATGGTGGAAAGGAAAGAGTGTGGGCTTCTCAATCCTGCAGACTTGCATGAAGTCCCACTACTTCTGCTTACCACCAATTTGATCAAGGGTAACTTATATAACTTCTCTCTGTTTCCTCATCTGTAATATGGGACCGATGAGAATTATCTCACAAGTTCATTGTCAGGACTAGAGATAAGACACGTAAAGCACTTAGCATAATACCCAGAACATAGTAGGTGCTCCACAAATGGGTAGCTACTGCTAATAGTTACAAGAAGAAGCTGGATTTTCCTATCCTTGGTCATCTTTGTGGAACCCATGCAAAATAGTTAAATCCAAAACCTCCAGGTGCCACAACAAACAGGGCATTGGTAGAGCCACATATAATGCAGGGATGTCTGGATAGCGGGGCAGCTATTCTCTTCCTACCAAAAGCTAGAGGTTGTTGAAGTACAGGAAGTTGATTTATGGATAGGGAGTACGTGGGCCTGAGAAATGATGCAAAGAGAGAAAAGCCATTCCTTGGGGAACATAAAACTACCACGGACATTTCAGTCAATTCACAGTGAAGACTCTAAGCCTCCCAAGGGCCCAAATCTGACCCGTACAGAAACAAATGAGGAAGAGGGGGTAGCCAGAGGATAGAGGTGAGCTTGCTGAGAATTCTGCCCCCAAGTTTGGAACTTGCAAACAGAGAGGCCGAGAATTCTGCAGATGCTGTGGCAGTTTGAACTCCTGGAGAGCCCTTCCTGGCCCAGCCTAGCTGGGACGTAGAACACTGTAGGAAGCAGAAGAGGATCAGCCGATGGCAGAGAACCTGGACAAAGAAAAGGATGCCAACCAACTGAGGATAGAGACGTTTCCCTTGGCTCCTCCTGGCAAAGGATTTTTCAGGTTTCCTGGTGAGGAGGGAGTGGAAGTTATGACATAATCACACTCTATATTCTTTGTAGTTTGTTGTAGGCATGGTAATGATTAAGTCATCCTTTCGGTGAACTGTATATACTAGATTCTTTTCTTGAGACGGAGTCTCACTCTATCACCCAGGCTGGAGTGCAGTGGTGCGGTCTGGGCTCACTGCAACCTCCACCACCATATCCAGCTAAAATAGTTATGTAGTTATGTGTGTATGTATGTGTGTGTGTGTGTGTGTATGTGTGTGTGTGTGTATTTTTATATATATATATGTGTGTATGTATGTATGTGTATATATATATATATATGGTATTTTTAATGGGAACAAAGTTTCACTGTGTTGGTCATGCTGGCCTTGAACCCCTGGCCTCAAGTGATCCACCCCCTTGGCCTCCCAAAGTGCTGGGATTACAGGTATGAGCCACCGCACCTGGCCTACTGCATATACTAGATTCTAAGTGTGGATTCTACCATCTTTCTAATTCATTTGTGGTCCTATGGAGTGTTAGTGAGTTGATGGCCGGGAGTTAAATGTTGCGTCCCATCAACAACACCTGTGCCTGGGTAGGGTTGTCGCATCTGGTGTGGCCCTTATTGTGTTTGTTCTTCTACTTGAAAAACAGTTTCTTCTCATTCCATTTAGATTCACCCAGGGTTTAATGAATGAGGAGGCCACAAGTATTATTTTCCTTCCTGATCCCCTTCCTGTGATTGGCTAGAGAAGGTGATGGCCCTTGGCAATGGTTGGGAGGGGAGGGGCGGCCGGCGGGCATCACTCATCTGTGGAAGGAGTTGGGGAGGAGGCCTTTCTTCACTCATGAATGAATGCTTCCCTTTACTGCTGTCAGTCGGGGCTGCCTGAGAAGCAGTGTGGCGACATTCTCAGAAGGGATAGGGGTGGTGCCTCACCAGTCATGGTGGCCTCATCCATGACTGATGGAAAGATGTTGCAGGCTGGGGCCACCTGTCCTGATTGTAATCCCCTAACACATAGGGTGAGGACAGAGTCCCCACACCCTGAAATTTCAGGGATGGGCCCTGTGCTAGTAGAAAGCAGGGGATGGGGATCTGGGGACAAGAAAAGCAAAATCATTTGGTTAAAAAGCTTGCTTAACTGGGCACCAAACCCAGGCACTCTGGTTTCACAGTCCATGGTCTAATCACTGCACTGCACGGCCTTTGCAGCTACTTCTGACAGTGTCACAGGAGCCTCAGGTAGGAGGGAAGAGCAGTTACCACCTCCTCCGCACGGGGTGCCCCAATCCCAAGTTTTGTCTATTTAAGACATTGACTTCTGTGAGTGATTTTACTTGGATACAGAGAGGAGAAGAAAAGAAGGACTGAGCTAACAAAAATATAGTTTGAAGACAAAATGAAAGAAAACAAAAAATTGTGTGCCTGACATGACACAGTGGAGAAAGAAAGGGCTGAAAGTTATTTGGGATAACATCATGGAGTAACTGAAGGAAAAGAAAGAGTTTTGATTCAAATCTACAGACTCTTTTCTTCCTCCCTCCTCTGCCCCAGAGCACCAAGGAAGACTCACAAGGCTCATGGATGACCTAGAAAAATCTCACCTGTCCTCTCCATGTCTCAGCTCCTCATCTGCATAAGGAAAAAAGTTGAGCCAGTTGATGAACCAGAGGTGATGTCTCTGATATCCATTCAGTTTTAATCTCTTGTCCTTCAAGGGGAGAGGGTCAGGGGCAGGTGAATGTGGAGGAGGGCCTCAGAGCAGCCACACAAGCAGGACAGCTGCTCCCATTCAGGGCTGAGAAAGCCTAATGCACGGGTGCAGCTTTCCCAACTGTTTGTTCCAACATTAAAACACTACTTCCACCCCCATGCCTCCCTCCCAGTTCTCTCCCCGACCACCTGGCCTTCTCCAGACCTTTTAGCACCCAGAAACTAGAGGACAATACCTGGCACAATGTGGTGCAGGGAAGTGGGCAACCAGGATCTGCTCCAGCCACAACCCTCTCAACAGTGTATTTGCTCAGTGCCTGCCTTTTCACTGCAGACCAGGGGGACATCCTGAAAGAGAAAACTAGAGTGGGCTAGTAAAGAAGGAAGGAAGGAAGGAAAGAAGGAAGGAAGGAAGGAAGGAAGGAAGGAAGGAAGGAAGGAAGGAAGGAAGGAAGGAAGGAAGGAAAGAAGGAAGGAAGGAAGGAAAGAAGGAAGGAAGGAAGGAAGGAAGGAAGGAAGGAAAGAAGGAAGGAAGGAAGGAAGGAAAGAAGGAAGGAAGGAAGGAAGGAAAGAAGGAAGGAAGGAAAGAAGGAAGGAAAGAAGAAAGGAATGAAGGAAGGAACGAAGGAAGGAAGGGAGGGAAGGAGGGAGGGAGGGAGGGAAGGAGGGAGGAAAGGAAAGAAGGAAGGAAGAAAGGAAGGAAGAGGGAGGGAGGGAGGAAGAGGGAGGGAAGAAGGGAGAGAGGGAGGGAAGGAAGGAGGGAGAGAGGGAGGGAGGAAAGGAGCGAGAGAAGGAACTATAAATCATCCTTGAAAAATGTCTAAAGGTTTTGATTTCTGCTTTTGGCAAAAATATGCTGTGGTCAGCTTTTGTTAAGTGATTCAGTGAAATTCTTCTTTATGTATTTCAGGAAAACCCTGTCTCGTTCATGGCCATCTCTGAGGTTTCTGCAACTAGGCAAGCCCTGGCAATTCTGTGGGTGATAATTTAGGGTCCCTTGTAGAATGTCTTCTGATGTGACACATTATATAAATGGTGGTGCACACTCTTGCATCTGGCTTTCACCTCTCTAGAGAGTCAGCTCTCAAACTAATCTTTCTAGTGGGCTCTGAATAACCTGCAAGAGGGTCCTGGGTTGATCCTGTGAGGCTGACACCCCTGACTTTGTTCTCTAAAGGAGGGAAATGGACTCTTCATGGTGCAGCCATTTAATGCCCCCATCTGTGCTAGAGCCAAATCTCAGACTGAAGACAACTTAGTATGGTGTCGGGGTTCAGAAAAAAGGCTTTGGGGACAAGCTGGACCTTATTCAAACCTAGGGTGATCAACTTTCTTAGTTTTGCCATAATTGTCCTGTTTTTAGCACTGTAAGTCCTAAATCCCAGAAAATCCCTAAGTCCTGGGCAAACCCGGAAGCTTGGTCACCCTATTCTAGCTCTTTCAGCCTTAGCCAGTCATTTTCCTTCTTTGAGCCTTAGTTTCCTCATATGTGAAATGAGGGGAATGATAACAACATCAAATGGTATGCATTTGAAGGTTAATATGCATTCAAAGATTGTTCACCAAGAAAGTTAGAAGTTTACATGACAAAATGGTCTTTCTGTTTCTGTTCTGAGAAGGAGTAGATGTCTCCTCTCCCCAGTGTGTTTTGACTGTTTCAAGTGGAGGTGTGAGGACAGCACTTGAGGATTCTGGAATACTCTTCAGGAAGCCTTGCAGGCCCTGGCAAATGCAGAGCACAAATTAAGGGTTCTCCCAGCTCTATGATTATGTGGTTAAGTGTAAATGGCAGAAGCAGCTACCTGCTTGCAGAAGTCACTTTTAGCAGCTACCACTTGCAAGTCACAAATAAGAGATTATGAAATCTTTTCTTTTAGGCTTCTTTATTGCCCCTTGGCTATTGTCTGCAGAGATTCTTAACTAATAGCCATGTTCAGAATGACTGTTTTCCAGAAACCACTGTTTCATGGCTGAAAAATGAAAAGAAGTCAATGTTTTCTAAGGACTCCATTGCAAGGCAGTTGCAGGACAAGAGTGGATTTCACAGGCCTCTTAATTCCTGGCAGTAATGGCTGAGGGCTGTCTTGGAGACCAGAAGTGGCAGGCAAGAACTCCCTTAACAAAAGAGAGGCAGGGGGATTATTTATTCAAATGCCCTGATAGAAGAAAGCCTAATCAAAGACACCATAGAAAACAAGCCGCAGGCAGATAGGGAATATTTGGAACATGAGAGTGTCAAAAGGATCCAGGCTTTTGCTAAAGGAAAGGAAATGACTAGGGGAAATGGCCTTTTTATGATTGAGCGGAGCTATGTCAGAGCTATGCGCCAAGGGTTGGGGATTATTCAAAGTGCAAACACCTTTATTATCCTGGTCCTCCCACCCCCATCACGAATGAAGTAAGAATCATTAGAATCAGTGCCAGATTCTGACTGAAAATAGAGGTCTTCAGAAGTTGGCAAATTCAACATGCAAGACTGGCACAAGTGATAATGAACTTGTTCTTGGCCACAGCAGTTGATGACACAATTTTGCATAATTAGAACACCTTTGGAAGTAGGGAGTAAAAAAGGACCCTCCAATCTGGAATTGACTGATTTACATAAACATTAGTGTGATTAGTGGTTTCAACTCTTAAGGTACTTCCTTGTCATTTACATTCTAATTGATGATAGGGTAGAATGCCAAGGGGAGCAACACTGATGGTGTTTAGTGCCATACAAAATGGCCCACGAGGCTGTGGGGAAGTCTGCAAAGTAGGTGTTTCTAGGTTACCAAAGTCATCTTCTTTTCTTGTGCTTTCCACCCTTTCCTAGAGAAAATTAAATTCTAGAACAGCTAATTTAAAAGTCAAGAAATTTCATTATCAGAATAATGCATGAAAGGGTATCCGCTATCTCTTGCTGAGTAATAAATCACCCAAAAACATAGTGCCTTAACAACAGTCGTTTTTAACCTCTCCCAGTTTCTGTGGGTCCGGCATTCATAGAGGGCTCAGTGGGGAGATTCTGGTTTGGAGTCCCCCAAGTGGTTGTCAGAAGAAAGGGTGGAGCCAGAACAGCAGAGGGGCTGAAGAATCTGCAGTCTTGCTAGGCACCTCTATCTTCACAGATGGTCTCTCCATGGGGTCTCTCTATAAGAGCTAGTTTGAGCCTCTTCACAACATGGCAGCCTTAGAGTAGTGAAATGCTCCAGTGCAAGTATTTCAGCTCCCAACACAGCAGCTGCATCAACCTTTGTGACCTGGCCTCAGAAGTTTCTGTTGGTTACAAGTGAGTTACAAGCCCCCTTAGGTCGAAGAGAAGGGGAATTTGATGTGACTTCTTAATAGAGAATGGTGATATTCTAGAGGGACAATGTGGGGTAAGAGACAGCACTGTGGCCATCTCTTGAAAATACAATATGGGCCGGGCACAGTGGCTCATGCCTTTAATCCCAGCACTCTGGGAGGCCAAGATGGGCAGATCACCTGAGGTCAGGAGTTCGA